TTGCCATGCTCCCACCAATAACGTAGCTCCATTTTCTGCCTTTAAAAGCACACACAACCCACAATTCCTCTATTCGCTCCGACGAAGGGCTAACGCTCGAAACGTCAGCTTTTGTAATCATTACGGTGGCCAATTTACCATTCCAACTTTGTTGATATATCCAAATTATTTCGTTACTCCCGCCGACGCAGCCCCAAAAATTTTCTTTCGAAACTATCAGCCTTTATTCACAGGTATACAATAGTATTGTGACCGACGAGGTCATTTTTGACTGTGCGACAGCAACAATGGCAAACAAGTGTGAACTCAGCCAGAACTTAAATATTTTACAATTTATCAGTAGTGAATAAAGGACAAAACTTACCTACAAGCTCGCTGTTTTCATGTAGATCAAGCAATCTGAGAGTCTCTTTCAAGGGGAATACATCTTTAGATGTGATATCTGGACTGTAAACGTTTTCAAATATCTTCTCATTCTATGTGAAGAGACATTCAGGCAGTATGTTACCAGCGCAACAACTTCTCGGCTACTGGACCATCTTAACAGAATCTCTTACCTCATTCCCTCAAATTTACATTTTGTCTCAATTTCTCTGTAGTGGTTAGTTTTTTAATGCGCCCCACCTTTACAAGCTTCCGTACCTCGTTCACACTATCAACGCAATTTATCTTTAGAAACGCTTCCTTGTCCCTCTGTCCTTGTTCTTCAGCATTTTTTACCCTGAAAGACGTTTGAATTTCCGATCTGTGGGTTAATAATAAGAAGATAACTTTATATGAGCGTCAGTAGTTATAAAAAATGGTGTGTGGAGAATTCTTGGGCAAACAAAGTCGAGTGACCTGATGTGGACCGCGGTTACTAAGTGAACACTTCCAGTGGCTCACTAAAACCCTGTCATACAGATCGCCCAAAACATTCTCAACTAATTGACCTTGCGGTAGGAAAATCGAACTACTGACCTCAGAATGCTTCTCTCTTCTAAGGGATTACCCTGGCTGTCCAATAATAGAGGGTCCTGAACAAGTTTGGTTTTCAACCTTGAAGCTAGGACACTGATTTTGGGAATCTTCTGACGAATGCTGTAGAGATTGTCTGTAAATTCTAGTTCTTCAAGTTTCATAGAGTCATCTATAAGATAATGATAGATGTTGGCAGAGGACAAACAAATTTTTGTGACTTAAATTAGTACACGGAGATCACTTACTGACACATTTGCCATTTTATCTTGATCTTTATCGATCTGGCCCCGGTTGTTCAAAGGATGGATAACGCTATGCACTGGATAAATCTCTATTCGGTGGATAGCACAGTACGTTTTGGTAACACTTATCCGCTGGATAGCGATTTATCCGTTGGATTGCGTTCTCCGCCCTTTGAACAGCTGGGGCCTGCACTTTCGCTAAAGAATTCTCATACACTTTTTCCCTCATGATCAGTTTGAGGCCTTAATTAGTCAGTTGTCAGTTGGAACGATCAAACAATACATATTTCATTACCGTCAGACTTTTCATTGATTGGTGTAAACTGTTCTTTGTCCTGTGCTGATGAATTGATGACATGATTCACGATTTCTTTTTCAAGATCAGACCACATATCAAAGGATACCAAAGGGGAGTCTGGGTTGGAGCTTTGAACAATGTCTTCCCCAGTTTTTTCTGGGCAGTAAGCCACAGGTCCCTGAATCTTGCTTGGGATTTCTAAGATCTGTGCCAGGTAGTCAATGGGCTGTCTACTTGACAACTTGAAGGGAACTATTTCTGTATATGAAAAAGTTAAGATTAATGGAAAATTAGGCAAATTTTAAAATGGATTGAAACAAACCCAAGAGTCCCTAAACAAAATTCAAAGGAAGGTTCACCAGAGTTATTAATCATATCTTCTATACTCTTCAGTCGAGGAATAAGTTGTGTCCTATCACTAGCTGTTCCATAGTGTGTGTAGGTATCTACATACTCCAAATGGCTTGGTGTCGTGAGAAGCATCTGGGAAAGCATGTTTTTGCGTTGTTGTAAGGCCTGCAAAAGAAAACAACACAACCACTATTGGCAATGGACAATTAGATAACAACAGTAGAAGTTTACTAAAAGATCAAGATCATTTCACAGTGTAGGGATTGTTGCTTATATGAAGATTGGAGGAAGTGCCGTACTTACATCCGCAAGGAACTCGATTCCCAGGTACCGTGGCATTTTCAGTTGTATCTTGAGGCGATCTCCTTTTATTACTTTATTACACACATGTATAAAGTTATTACTTTTTCGGCTATAGCTATTCGTAGTACTAGTAATTTAAACTAATGGTTTGTTTACGTTCAGATTTTTTCACGCCAGCCGCAAGCGTTCGCACATTTCGCGCGCCTTTCGATAGATTAACGTGATTGGACAGAGTTTACACAAAATAACCAATCAGATTTAACCAAATTCCAGGTTTTACCCTCCCTCCCCACCCTCAGACTAAATCCACATCCTTGTAGCCAGGCCTTTTGTAACCCATTCTGCGTTTCCACGCTTTCTTCTGCTGTCCTAAGCACGTGGAAAAGTCCAAAATGACTTCCTTGGCAAAACAACTACAACAACTACAAATACCGGGAAGTTTGCCTTCAACAGCTACTGTGCAAGCCAGTAAAAAATCATCTCTGCTATTTGATTCTAAAGAGGCAGCTGACATAGACAACGAAACTGTGTTTTCTATCGGTTTAAATGGCTTGGAGGAATTGAAAGTTATCGAACCTGCCTTTAGGATGTTTGAAAAGTCGCTCTTTGGCGACAATTCAATGTCTCTGGAAAGATCGTTACAGACTAAAGATGTGAACGAAAAGCTCGATCAACATATTTCAAAATTTCTGCAATATTTATCGCCGTACTTCTTGCTAAAACCAGCTCATAAGGTTTTGGAATGGCTTATTCGAAGGTTCCAAATTCACGTGTACAATGTTGATAGTTTGGTTACTTGTATTTTGCCTTACCACGAAACAAACTTGTTCACTCATGTGTTGCAGCTACTCTCCATAAAAGATCCTTCCTCAAAGTGGAACTGGCTAAGTCCCATTAAAAAAGCCGGAGTTCCCCTTTCTAAGTCAGCTTTCTTACAACACTGCGTCACTGATCCAGCCTTCTTCTCTCTTATTTGTGACATGGTGATGGAAGGTACAAAGCTGGAAATTCCTCCGTCAAGCTTAAGAATTTTGTTTACATTTTATACCTCAGCTGTTGTTGGAGCCTTAGATATGATGCCAAGTGTGACAGAGAAGTTTATAACTCAGTTATTGCCTCATTTACTAGCTGGTCTAAAGTCTGAGCTCTCAGAGCTGGTAACATCGTCATACATGATAACAGCTCAGTTGTGCTTTCGATGCAGTATGGATAAGGAATTGGTGAAATCCCTATCTGACAGCATTTGCAAGGTATTTTAAATTAATGTCATGTTAAGCAGCTTGCATGAATAAATTGTATTAATGTTAAGTTGAAATAACCTTGATCCTTGTGACTAAATTCTATCCTCTGTCATGAAAGCACCAAGGACGAAGGTTGAGTCTTGAAGTGAAACTAGCAACTTACTTATGTGGTGAAGCTTTACTCATTTTATGGGTTTGCATAGATATTAACCACCAATCAGGTATCGATCAGGGCAGTCCTTAAATTGAAACTCTTGCTCAAGACTCCTAGAAGGGTGTTCCAGTTTAGTTTTCAGAATCCAGTCTTGAAAGTTACCATGTGTAGCTCTCAATATTCCTTTGGTATCTCTCTCTTTCTCTGGCATTTATCTAGCTTTTCTTATTATTGATCAACCATTGTAACTTCTCATTGATTCATAAAGCTCTGAAACTTCAGTGTGATTTATTCTTTTTTTTTTTTTCTTTTATTTTTTTCTTTTAAATCTCAGAGCATTAAACCAAGATTAGCCACTGAGGGTCTGTCTTGTCTAACCTTCATTTGTCAATCACAGGGGTTGAAGAAATTATCAAAGAGGTTAGTCCATTCTATGTGTATGTTACATCAGTCTTAGGTGATAAAAATAACTTATTTTTGCTGCATGGGCAAACATGTCACTGCTTACTCCTAAAATCTGTTATTATACATTTATTATTGTGTATTGCTATGTTTTTTTTTTTTTACAGATCCTTTAAAGCACTTCTGAAGCTTCCAAGACTGGTAAATATTCTTCACAATCTGTCGTTGAGTCGCAGCATTAATCCATTACTTGAAGTATTTGTCCCACAACTTGTATCCAATGGAATAAAACAGGAGTTATCAGAGGAGAGCGATACAAGAGGCCTGTTAGAGAATCTTCTGAAATTACTTGGAGAAGTTGATTTTGAACCAGTGCTGGTCACTGTGACTGGCAGGTCAGAATCCACCATAAGTTGTACAATTAATATTTTAAGAAACAAAAATGTTTATTGTGCTTTTTTATACAGTGTGTTTTACAAATATTTAGTGCTTTTTGTATACAGTGTGTTTTACAAAATAATATTTAGATGCACTCTCAGGATTAGTAATAAACAATTCAGATATAACACAACTTGATTGAAAATTACATGAACATACTTTTTTTTCTCTTATATTACAATGTTTAATTGATACTTCAGTCCAGTGAGTGATGAAATGTGCATTCCCCCTGTTTAAAAGAATTTTCCTTTTGACAATAAAAATCACAAGTTGAGCACCTTTCCGACACCAGAAGAATGTGGTCACAGCCTTAACAAGCTCCCAACCAGTAACGTCGTGGTAAAACTGTCAAATCAATTTTATCTAAACAGACTTACAAAAAACTTCCACTTGACTTTGACGAAATGTCAGTCCCCATCTCTGAGAGCAGGTCTCTCTCTCTC